TTGAAGCTTTCCAAGTCTCTAAAGCCCAATCCTCCCTCTTTCTTGCCTTTACTTATATGCCCCCAGTTCCTCCAGTGTATCCTTCTTTCCCCTATAGATTTGCTTCACCAGAATCTTCTAATCCCTGCAGTTATTTCTTGGCAAAATCATTTAGGTAACATAAATATAGACATGGCATAAGTGGGTGCCTGCACCACAGCCTTAATCAGAACCTCTCTACCTGCATGATTCAAAAACATTTCATTCCATCCCGCTATTTTACTCATTATCCTCTCTTTTAGCCCTTCGAACACTTGCCTCTTTGATCTTTCCCACTCCGTCGGTAGCCCCAAGTATTTACCTGTTTTAGGCATTACACGTATCTTGAGCTCTGCCGCCAACTCCTGTTGCACATGGGCTGGGGTATTTCTGCTGAAAGTCACTCCAAACTTATTCAAGTTCACTAACTGACCAGTAGCATAGCAATACTGATTCAGTGGAGAAGAATAATGAATCATCCACAAATAGTAGGTGAGTCAAACAGGGGGCACTCCTATTGATCTTTAGCCCTTTGAGGGACCCATTTAATATGGCTCTTTGCATCAGGGCAGTAAGACATTTGGAGATTAGAATGAATAGGTAAGGTGAGAGGGGGTCTCTTTGCCTCAACCCTCTAGTTGGTGTAATCCTTATTGTTCTTTCCCCATTTAAAAGTATGTTATACCTCATATTTGTTACACATTGCATCACTAATGACACCCACCTGTGCTCAAACCCCAAGTAAGGAGCATGTCCCTAAGAAAGTCTCATTCTACTCTATCGTATGCTTTTGCCATATCCAGATTCAGTGCCATTTGATATTTTCTAGTTCCCCTCCTCTGTCTCATGGAATGTAACAATATTGTCCTGTATTAATCTTCCTCCCATGAAGGCGCTTTGATTTTGTGACACCAGTTGAGGCATGAAAGGTTTGAGCCTTGAAGCTATCAGCTTAGAGATAATCTTATAAATAAAATTACAGTAGCTAATGGGTCTATACTCTCCTATACGTTCAGGGTTGGGCACTTTTGGGATTAGATTTACATTTGTCTTATTCAATTCCTTTAACAAGTATCCAGACTGAAAGAAAGAGAGGATAGCACTACATATCTCGTCTTGAATGATATGCCAGTGCCTTTGGTAGAATAGGCCAGGGAGTCCATCAGGTCCTGGTGACTTGAGGGTTCCAAGTTGGAAAGTTGCTGCTTTGATTTCCTCTATTGTAGGAGTCTTCATCATCTCCTGGCTCATTTGTGTTGTAACGACTGGTGGGACCAGCCGTAAAATCTGTGAGTAATGCCTCTCCCCTTCAGTTGTGAATATCATCAGATAATGCTCTTCAATTAATTTCTTTATCTGCTCCTTCTCCATTACCCACTCATCATTTGTACCCTTAATCATAGTGAGCTTGTTCCTCTGTCTCCTCTGTACCATGGTTGCGTGAAAAAATTTTGAGTTTCTGTCCCCCACTTCAGCCATTTCAGCCTTGACCTCTGGCCCCAATATTTTTCTTCTCTTTGCCACACCTTCTCTAGATCCTGTTTGATCCTCCTGATCTCTTCTTAGGGCACATTCGAATGCGAGAGATTTTGGAGCTCCAGCAACTTGTTCTCGAGGCTATCAATTTGTCTTCTGTTATTAGCATACTTCTTATAACTCCACTCCCTCAGTTGTCCTTGGCATCTTCATAGTTTCTGTCTTAGCTTGTACATTCTAAATCCCCATGCTTCTTCACTCCAACTTTGTCTAATCACTTGACTACACTCTTCTTCATCCGCCCAGTATGCCTCAAATTTGAAGTGTTTCCTTGGTTTATGGATTATAGGCTCTGTATCAAGAATCAGTGGGGAGTGGTCTGATCCAATTGCTGGAGTTGCTGTTACTGTAGCTTCTGAAAACACCATTCTCCAACTAGTTGAGGCCAATCCCCTGTCCAGCCGTTCCCTCACATTAGCCACGCCTTCTCTATGATTATCCCAGGTAAATCTGCAGCCTTTACTTTCCAAGTCAATGAGTCCTCCACTATCATCCATAAATGCTCGAAAGCCTCTCATCTTGTATGGTGCTCTTTCTCTCTGCCCCTCCTTCTCACTATTGTTGGCGATGTCATTAAAGTCACCCATACAAAGCCAAGGAAGGTCAAGGCTCCTCCCATAGTTACTGAGCTTCTCCCATTGCATGCGCCTTTTCTGATACTCAGGGTGCCCATATATAAAACTTAAGAGCCATGGCCCCTTTGTTCCTTTTGCTTTAAACAAGATGTCCACCTGATTTTGATTATAACCAGACACTTCCATTTGAGCCTCTCTCTTCCACATGATACATATTCCTCCTGCAAAGCCAATTGGTTCCACAAACCAACTTTCCTTCAAAATCAAGTTCCCTTCTAATTTTCTCCACCCTGCCTCGCTTTATTTTAATTTCACTAAGACATACTACCTGGGGTCTATATCGGACACATAGGTCCTTTAATGCTAGAACTGTCGAGGGCGCCCCTAACCCTTGGCAGTTCCAAGCTATGAGCACCATGGGGGAGTTGGGGGCATGTTAAGGCCCGCCTCCTCGGTCAATTTAACAATTTCCTCTGTCCATTCCACAATCACTTCATGCATCTGCTCTGTCCCCTCCACTACATGTTGTTCTATTGCTTTCCTCCCTCTATATTTTCTGATTGACCTCTGCATTGCATTAGTAAACCCCTCCATAGTGTTCTGGATCATATTTTTATCTTTCTGTCTGATTTTAATTGAGGGTGTAATTTAAATTTTTTAATTTTTTAGGGTGTAAATTGAAAATTTGAAGACCGAAGTGTTATTCACTCTCTCAAGTTTGTGATTGTACTGAAAAGTTCAGCCGGAAGTGCGCCAGCAATAATCAATTAGGCTAGGTGGCAGAAGCCGGCAGGCAACTTACCAGTGTAAGCATATTAATACAGCAAAGAAGTGGATATAAGAATATTCTCTTTCTTTTTCATAATTTAATTAAAAAATAAAGCAGCAACTAAAGCGAAAATTGGTAGATTCGGATGCCAAGGGTTTGATTATCACTGGTATTTTTCGGACTTTTCTGATATTTGCGGCTTGCATGTGATTTTAGATATCTGAGGTTTTCTCTTGCAGGTACGAGTCTGAAGTTATCCTATTTTGGAGAAGTTTTTCGTTAACAAATAATAGTAATAATAATAATAAGGCGAAAACTGATAGCCCACACAGAATTTGATAATTGGTTTAGTTGAAAATCTGATAAGATTTTTGTCTTCTACATACACACAAGTGGGCATAGATTCTTTTGATCAAATGGGAAAACTCTCTAATTTAGAGAATTTGTAGGGGTCACATTCAATATTTTGTAAACTATGTAGAAGATTAATGTTTGAAAAAATCAACATTTTTTTAGCATGGGGAAATTTTAGTATTTTACTATCTCAAGCTTCAATAAATTTGATTTATTTTAACCGATTTATCAACAGTCGAGCATAACTAGGTTTCTTTCTATTTATACATAACTATGTACTCACATTTACGCATGCACACACGATCTTTGCTGTCATATCTAATCTAACTCGAGCCAATCTAAATTACATGAGTTTGGCTTGTTTATGTTGATTCATTTATCATTTTAATTTGGCTCCAAAGAGTTTTTAACTGAACAAATCATATACAAGCTCATACAATTTTTTTAGTATAACCCTAACCCTAAACAATTGATGCCGGAAAAATATTTAGGCTAAATTTTATACGAATCTTTTTTACATTTAACGGGATTTACTCCTCATATTGTTGAGATTTTTTTTTGAAGAAGTAAAAGTATTTTTAAATTTGTCATTTTCAACTCAAATTATTTTTGTTGAGAAATCTTGCCTACCTTACTTGCCCCCTTTTCCCCAAGAAACCAATTAAAAGTTGATTCAGTATGCTCAATAAAATATATGAATATCGCTGTTTCTCAAAAATAAAATAAAAAATGGTAGATTAAGTAATTTTAGATATGGTTTACCTATCAACACACAATCAAGAAGAAATTAGTGAATTCGAGTTTAATTTTACTCGATTCGATAAATAATAAATGGATTAAGTTTAGACCCGTCAAATACATAAATTAATACAAATCAATTTAAAGTTAACGCGAATAACATGAAATTATTAAACACAACTTATATAAATGCTATTTAAAAGAGAGCTTCTATAGTTGCACACACGCTCCACGGGCACGTCGCCCAACTTTTTTTTTTTTGATTTAACGGTTAAGGGTGTCCATATTAATTTATGTGTATCTTTCCGAGTCATGTATCTCAAAAAATCTTCTCTCAAGTCTAATCAAATACATACCATTTTATATTAAAATTAGAATATTTGTGACTCGTAAAAAATTATCAAAATTCAAATATTACTAGTTGAGTTGCGATTGGGTTAACAACTTCAATTTCCATATATACCTCTTGAAAAATATAAAAATTCTTACTCTGTCTTTTAAATAATTTATTTTTTACATTGTCTTCTCAAAAAAATATTTTTTTTTAATATGGTCTATTATCTTATTTTTATTTGATTGTTCGTCTGTACTAAATTAATCAATTAAAAATCACAAAATTAACGAAGGACCAAATAAAAATAAGACGGTAGGACACGTTATAACGTTTTTTATTTCTTGATCAAGGAAAAATGAGATTTTATCAAGGATTAAAATTTTATTTCGGTGTATTATTTCGGTCACCTCGAAAACAAAAACGTTTTGACGTGTTTCGGAAACGTTTCGACCTGTTTCGGAAATATAGTGAAAAGAATAAAAAATTTAAAAATTATTTTTTAATACATTAATTGAAATATATCAAAATATCTTAAAATATTTTAAAATAATTATACAATTATATTAAAATATTATAATATATCTTAAAACATTGCGAAATATCTTATCGAAACGGTATTTGGATACTTGGATTTTCTCTTCCATATATTTAAATGGTTCCGTGAGTTTCGAAGTGAGGTAGTTTCAGTTTCTCTCTCTTCCCTCTCGGCAACTCCAATGTGACTCCCTCTCTCTGTCATCGCCATTGCTTTCTCAGCTCATTCAGTTATGTGGTTTCATTCTTCGTCATCAAATCTTTCTGGCCACAGTCTCGGGTTTCTTCGATCCTGTAAACGATCCACTCTTTCGATACTTACACCCTCACGCACTCGAATTTCATTTGTTTCTTCTATTTACCCTCGCCGACTTGGCTTTTACTTTGATCTCAAGGTAATACAGAACAGATACATCCGTATTTACTTACACTTGTGTTTGTTTGTACAAATATGTATATGGGTATACTTGTAATGTGATTTCTAACTGTTTATGCCTTATGGGTATTGTTGGGATCAAAGGTTCGAAAATATGGGTACCGTTCAAAGCAGAGGGTTGTGCAAGTTACAGCTATGGCTGATGAGGTACTGCTGTACTATTTTTTGTTTTTCTTGTTGCAAAGTCAAAATATATACTTACCCTTTGTGCATTGCATTGTTATTTGTGCATCTTAAATTAAGTCAATTCTGTTAATATCTTTATTTGGGTATAGCTGTATAATCTTTTGATTTTGTGTTCACTAACTCATCACACACATGTTTGCTGGTTTTAGGATTAACTTCCTTTTTTGGGTACAAAATGTGTGATGAATTAGTTGAGGACCTTATGGTGTTTTGATTACAAAGTTAAGTATTTCTGAGTTTTTATTGGTTGATGGGAAATTAGAAATGGAAGAAATGAAACGTCAAAAATCTGCAATGAGTTTATGTTAAAGTGGCTTTTCTAAAAGATTCTTCTCTTTTTCCTTTCTTATTAAGGGGTTGGATTGCACTCTCTCTCTCTCTCTCTCTCTCTCTCTCTCACACACACACACACACACACACAGAGTCACTTACAAAGGCACGGCCAGAGGAGTGGGAGGTGATTATCTTAGCTACTATATGTGAATTTGATAGATAAATACAAAATCATTAATTAATTTGGCCTTTGTTTAAGTAAACATTTGCAGCTGATTTTGTTAATTTGTTAATAAAACAAATAGATACTTTGACAAACCTTTTTCCCTCATGCCTCGGTGTAATGCGTCTAATTTTTTTTTCCCTGGGTCTTGTTTTATAGGATTTGGGGGGTATTGCTTCACTTGATGACTTTGGGAGCAACGAGAGGGCTGTGGAATACATGCTTTCATCCAGTGACGGTGAAGACAGTGATGGAGAAGGTATGTTAACTCCTATAACCGATGTTGATTTGCCTACCAAGAGGAAGCAGTTTCGTCCAACTGATGATGCTTTAACCGTGACTGCTCACCGCCTTGCAATGCTTGGGAGAGCACGCAAGAGAAAAAGGCAAGTGCACAACCTTGCTCAAACTTCATGATCAATTTATCTCCCAATTGTTTATTTCTACTCTTACAACCTATATCGTTCATTCTTACGTCATTACATATATGAGCAATACAAAATAATTACGACACTATATTAATATGAACATGTGGGGGTTTGCACCCCTGCATCCTTGGCACCATAATACCACCACACTCACCCCAACTGTAATGCTTGGATGGATATCTCTGATCTGTTTCCAAACTTGTTGCGGGGTGTTGTGTTATGTTCACGTATCAAAAAGGAATATAGAATGCAGAGAAAATGTGGCTGCAATGGATTTAGCACGACATAAAGCATGTGTTTTTTGCATGATTAAATTCTGTTTTCATTGTTTTTTTTTCCTTTGAGTATTTTCTTTCTTTCCATTAGCTTGATTGTAATTTAAATAGCTTTAAAAAGTGTGACGTCAATAACTTCACAATGTGGTGTTGTTTTAGTGAACATATGATATTATATGGAGAAGTGGATGGTGGATTTCTTTTTCGTCTTTGCATTCTTTCTTTTTCGTTTAATTTCTGTTTTTTGAAGAAATGCATGCTGAATGGTAATTGTTTTTGGGATTTTAATCTTAAGAAGCACAATGGCTGGCTTGTTTGTCTAGTCCCACCTCTTCACCCTAAGCTCTTAGTTCCATCTATACACAAGCATCCCCTTCTCTATAACAACAGCAAGTAGTAAACTACTTATCCTCTAACAATCAAGTATGCCATGCTCTCTCTTTCTCTCCATCCCAGCCCCCAAAAAATGATTCTGCAAACTGCAGTTGTTTTATAGCACAGTACTGTATATCTATAAGAAGTCTCCACTCTAATGCTGACTGTTTTGGGGACCTACTACATTTAGTTTTTAATGTTTATTCTGTTTTCAGTTTTTTGGTTTTATTCCTAGCTGATAAGTTTACAAAATATCATTTTTTGCATTTTCATCCCTCCATTGATGATGGACGTTAGTAAATCTATAGTTTTTTCTGTTAGTAAAATAATTGCTGCTAGAGGAAGTCAAGATGGGCTTAGCATCTGGTTTGATATTAAGCCTGTGGAAGGCGATTTCAGGGTCTAGCCCAGTCATCTCAGCGTACAGAATGGATTCATTTTTTCTGCTATACAATATTGGTTGACTTCAACAAGACTTTACTCTATGTTTGATCAGTTCTTTCAAAATCCTCTCTTTGCAGGATTAAATACGGAATTCTGAACAATATTGGACTGATTACATTCTTGACAATGCTTCTTTTACTTGTGGATTGGTGTGCGTGGCGAATTGTCAGATTGCCCTTAGCACCCTTTTATTTGATGCGCCCCTTTTCTATGTCAGCAGTATTAGCAGCTTGTGCAGGCTATATTTGTGTCCCACTACTTCGTAGTTTAAAGCTGCAATCAATCATCAAGAAAAGACCTGCTAGGCATTCCTCTAAGGAAGGAACCCCCGTCATGGGTGGATTGTTTTTCATTCCAATTGGTATAATCGTTGCAGAGGTGATAGTTGGTTTTTCTTCAATTGAAGTTTCTGCAGCAGCAGCTGCAACTCTAGCATTTGCTGCAATTGGACTACTTGATGACTTCTTAAGCCTCATCAAGGATCATCACAATGGTTTATCTGCTTGGATGAGAATTTTTTTGGAGGTAGAGCTTCTTTTGCTGCTTACTTCCTCCTTATTCTGGAGATGATGGTTATTGTACATTATGAGTAATTGTACGTGGTGGTGTTTCACAGGTGGCTGTTGGGACGTGGTTCTCATTTTGGTTATATTCCACAGATATATCATCACCCTACAGCATGTATACCTTCTCGTAACTAATTTGATCAACATTTGTCTGATGGTAACTCACACATCTATTCCCATGATCACAATATTTGAGAAGATGCCTAATAGTGTTTAAAATCCTTAAAGTATTTGGCTTCAATTAATTGGTTACAAGATTTTGTAATATTTTTAGGTACGAGCCACTTATTTTTTTTTAAACTACGATTTTTGTGCACAATCTTTTCATCCTTTCCTAAGGGAACAAGTGTAGAACACAAGGAGCAAGATAGAAAATGATAACACATTATCCTGGAAAGTTTGAGCACAGATAATGCATTACCTCCAATTTATTTCTTGTTTTATAATCATGTCAATGGCTGTGACAAAATTGCAGGGAGTAAGAGATGCGAGCAACACACTGATTCTTTTAGCTACTCGGTCATGAGAATAGATTTAATTTTTTGTTTAATAGCTTTTAGTCGATTTTTTGTAGAATATGTAGGAGAAAGTATAATAGTTCTCTCGCTACAAAGTGGCTTACCTGTTTCAATTGTTTTTTTCCAGTCATATTCCAATTGTTCAGTGTGTGTCATCTGTGAATTGAGTTTATCACAGTAGACAAGATTATCTTTGGAATATCAGAAGCTCATTTGATTATTTAAACACTGTCAACTCAAACCCTTCTCAACTCATTGAAAACTTGGCTTCCTGCAGATCCAACTATGATGGGGTTTTTTAGAGTGCAAGATTTCAGGTATTCATACCTTGGACGAGTTATTCACCAAATCAATGCTTTGGGCAACTTCATTCCCAAACCAGTTAGTTCCAAACCTGGTCACTTTCAGAAAACGTCATTCCAAATGACATCTCTAAGTTAAAAACGTTATTCCAAATGATGTTTGTAAGAGAAAATGAATTTGTTTTAGGTTTAAGGGAAGTTGTGTATACTTCGATGAAGTCTGTATTCGTAATGACTTCTTTAGTTAAAAACGTCAGTCCAAATGACGTTAAAGACTCCTTTTATTACTTACACAGTAGACGTTTTAACCACAACAACTTCAACATAATGGCATCATTTAGAATGATGCTTTTAAAAACGTCATTCTAAATGACGGTTTTCACAAATAACATAAGCATCTCCCACACTTCAAATGTCCCAAATTAGAAGCAGTAATGTTATGCTTACCAAGTTTTTTACCAAGTTTTCCATCCTGATGTGACACAATCTCCATCATTGAATATTAATGGGACTTACTTATTTGATGGTGAAAACTGTGCCACATCACTTGGAAAGGAAACTTGTTAAGAAATTTTGGTCAACATAGTATTGTTGAATTAGAAGACCTAAGCTCTCTCACTCTCCTCTGCTTCTTTATTCTCCGACGACAATACTTCCAAGACTAACTCTACAACGATGACTTCCAGAGTAACTCTGATGACGACGAGGAGTACAACTCTGAGGCCTAACTTCGATGATGACCCTTGTGCCCGATTATCTCTTTCTCTCTCTCACCACTGATCTCCGCCTCCCTTTTCCCCAAATCACCATCACCTTCCCCATTTCCTCCACCTCCATCTCATAGTCGGCCACACTATCCATAATCCCACCCAAACGAAACCCCAAATCATCACCACCCTCCCCATTTCCCCCACCTCCACCTGGCCACCCCTTCCACAATCCCACCTAAACAAATCACCACCCCTTTCCTCGTAGCTTGGGTCACGCCTATAGTTATATTATAGGAAGCACGGATACACATCGAGGGGTCGCCGTGGCAGTGTCGGACACATGTCCGACACTTGTAGAAGTGTTCTAAATAGTGGCTTTGATTTTTTTGGTCGGATACGGCTCGAATACGTGGGGGACACGGGAGGGATACAGTGAGGTACTTTTGTTATTTTAAAAACTTAGGGGGCCAAAACGGAAAAAAAAGGTTTCATACGTCGTTTGGCTTGAAAAAATAAAAACAAAAGGGCAAAAGACATTGTTCACACCCATCATTCAGTGTGTGTGTGAGAGAGAGAGAGAAGAGGAGAACGAGCTCGAGAGGACCAGAGGAGGAGAAGAAGAAGGAGAGGGAAGAGGAAGGGAGACTAACCTGCGATTGCAACTGTGACTACGACTGCGACCTACGACTTGCAATTCTGCCCAGTCTCTTGCAGGTTCTTTTTCTTGTCTCAATTTTTTTTTTTCAGATCTGCTACTGTTGCTCTTACGGTCTTACCTCTTCTGGTCTGTGTAGAGTCTGGACTTTCAAAAAGTTTGATTAGGTTAATTGATTAGGTTAGGGTTTTAGGCATTTCAAAATTTGGGAATTTTAGGGTTTTCAATCTTCTTGCCGTATTGTTGCCTTTAGGGTTTTTGTTTTTTGGTCTGGTGCTGTGTTGCTTGCTGGCTTGCTGCCTTTGAGATTTTTTTTTGGTCTTGGTCATCTGTGTTGCTGCCTTCTGTGCTAGTGTACTGCTGCCTGTTGATTTTAAATACTGAAAATTGTTTCTGTGCTGCCTGCTGGTTTTTTTTTTTGTCTTGGACATCTTTGTTATTATTAATGTTGTTTTTATATATATATAAATATATATAATTATTTTAATTAGCCTATCCTCGCCATATCCGTATCCTATATTTTGAGAATTTGCCGTATCGCCGTGTCCGTATCGTATCGGATACGACACCCGTGTCCGTATCCGTGCTTTTTAGGTTATGTTAATGTCTTGATTTCTTATTGCCTTGGCTGTGTGTTTACTTTTTGGCTGCCATTATGTGCTTATAATATGTTCCTCCTTATTGGTGTAGCACGAGCTTACAATACTTGACTCAAAATTGCTTTCTTTGGCCTTTCCCTTTAATGTGATTTACTTATGCACTCATGTACCACAAACCTAATCATTTATGCAAACCTTTGTGGACACTAGATTTTCTCATATTAGTGTACAATTGTTGTTTTGATATTGTTGAATATATGGTAACAAGATGTTGCCACAAAAATGCCACTTGGGGTATCTGTTGTATCAAAAAGCCATATATGAGTGCATCGTTGATGAACTTCAAGATAGATAGTTACATTAGGAAGAAGTTGAATGTTCTGCTTGAATTTTCGTGTTTAATTGAGACAGAATGATTAATCTAAGTGATGATAATTTGTTTTGAGCTTAATCGAAGAATGGGTTTTGTTCATTATGTTACACAATAAAGTGATGAGAATTTGTTCATTGTTTTGAGCTATGTACTATGGTTGTAGATTTTGGCATTGAGTTGGGATGTGGATTGTTTGGAGTTTATATGGTGTCTTGTGGTTCGTTGATAATTTATCATATGTGGTATAACCTCATATCTTAGTGCTACCTTTTTTTTTCATTTTTGCTTTTAGAGTTTATTGGCATTTGTGTCATCTCTCCACAATACTTCTAGTTATATTGGTTGATTGAAAACCCCATGAAATAGAACCTTTAAAATTTGTTGAGCAAAAAAATATATTTGATCGATAAAATAGTCAATATATCTGACTAATCCTCTTAATTCTGTAGAACAACCATAATCACATTTTTTTCACCTCAAGTTTTAAAAAACCAGATGAGACTATATGAGAGGTTCTATGTCATTGAGTCAATTAAGTTTTTACCATAGATGCCCTTCATCATCAAATACATATGGTGGGCCACCTATGGAGACTTCATTAGATTTTGTTCAATTTTGATTAGTTCATTTTCAGTTGAAATGTCATTTGGAATGACGGTTTGGACATGAAGGCGTTATTTGGAATGATGTTTTCTAAAAATGACTGGGTTTGGCAAATAAGTTTGAAACTGACTGGTTTTGGGAAATAAGTTGGTGAGATGCATGGGTTTAGTGAATGCCTCTACCTTGGACTGTTGAATATCTCAGTAACTAATTTGTTGTCTTGGTTGTTGGTGAAAGATATATTCAAAGAATCTCCAATTTGCACTCAGTGAAAGCCCTTTTGGTTTTTGTGATCTGTTATGGTCCTCTACTACCTGCCAATTTTACACAGCATATTGTGCTTGGAATATTTGATTACAAACCTAGAGCATTGCTTTTTCCTCCCATCGGATTGACAAAAAAAACCACAAAAACAAATGGCCCACGTCCATCAAAATGTCGTTTTGCTAGACAATCGCCCAATTAAGGCACACACTACTCTATTTGCAATGTTTGCTTGTAGTTATCTCATCGTTTTTACCGTATGTGTTTTTGAGTGGATGTTGGTCTTGAATTCATTCCTCCACTTGGACACTATGATACCTCAGGCTGGGTTAAAAAACTCAGTCTTGATCAATAATACTTGATTTATATTTTTTTTTGCCATGAGGAAACAATTGAGCATCTAAAGGATGAGAGAAATGACATTCAAAGAAATAAAATCTTTTGGAAGGGAAGGTATAAGGAACAAGATGACCTGTAAATGCGTGAGTATGGGAACGTGCACATTCTTCAAAATAAACGGTAGCTTTCTTAGATGAAGTACATGATGATGTCAAATGCAACCGTGTAAGGATTTTTGGTAACTAATGGGTTGGGGTGAATGCATTACTTACTCCCTGGTGTGAAACGCATGCATCCATGGACAGTCTATGTGGCAACACTACTACAATATCGGCTGGTTGTACTCATATCTGCTTTCATTCTGCAATGCAGGAAAATGGTGGTTCCTCTACCTGCCCCACTGGGCCTTGTTTGCCTTGGAAAATTGTACATATTATTGATTCCATTTTGTTTTGTTTCCATGGCAAATGGAACTAACTTAACAGATGGTCTTGATGGGTTGGCCGGAGGGACTGCTGCACTGGCTTTTATAGGAATGTCAATTGCAGTGCTTCCAATATGTTCTGGTCAGTAAGCATATTTTGAGATTCAATATAGCTTAGTTGGAGGTGTTTCCTCTAATTATTCAGAGCACAAAATATGATATAGTGGAGGGAGGGTTAGGTTTTATTGTTTGATTTGATAAGTACATAAATAGAGATCTTTTAAAATTTTTATACCCTGGTGTTTTATGGTTGATAATTAATATTGGTAAAAAAGAAAATTTCCGAAAATGCATTCTGTGGATGGTGGGTTAGCTTTGATTGCTTGATTTGATAAGGATATAAATTGATAAGCATATTTTAAGCATTCTTGGAACATCTTTTGATTGCTAATTTCTGCAATGAAAATCAGATCTTGCTGTATTTGGAGCATCAATGGCAGGAGCCTGTGTTGGTTTTCTTTTGCACAACCGTTACAAGGCATCTGTATTTATGGGTGAGACAGGAGCCTTGGCCTTAGGTGGAGCGCTAGCTGCAATGGCTGCGTGCACAGGAATGTTCTTTCCTTTATTTATTTCTTCCGGAATTTGTGTTCTGGAAGTACTATCGGTTATAATGCAGGTATTTCTTTTTGGTCATGATTTTTTCAATTTTTCCTGTGACAAAGCTACTTTTTTTTTTCCTTTTCAGGAAATTAATCAGATCAAACCATTCCTGTGATTTCTCTTACCTTTTTATTTCCTTTCATTCCTTTTTCTTTGGATTTTTTCCTTTTCATTTCTTTTTTTCCCCCCTTGGGGGGTTGTGTGAGCATGCATGTTATCTTTCTTTCAATTTTGTATCTCTGTCCGGCACTGTGCATTTGCAATGGGCCCATGGCATTGCATCCATTATTTTGTGTAATTTTGATATATTTCCTTGCCATCTGTTTCTATCTTTTATTTTTTGTTCTTTATTCATGTGGTTTTCACTTTTTTTTCCCATCCCCAATTCAGCTCAATTATGTGTACGTGTGTTTTTATTTACATTATCGCCACCTGCACTTGCTTTATTTCCTATGATGGAGCAACAATGCGGTTGCTTGGAAAAATATAAAAGAGGATTATATGTAAAGGCTACTTCTTTTGTCTTGCTTGGAAAAATATAGAACTTTGATTTTATCCCTTTTCCTTGATACATTTCTAACCGGATGCTAAATTGGATTTGTTCTAATCACACCAAAAGAACATTCTGGAGAGGAATGGCGATTATGTTCTAGATCATGCATCTTTTTACTTTGGAACACGAGCAAATACTTTTCTGCATCTCATTCATTGCACCATACACAAAATATGAATTGCACATGAACATTCTGGTGATTCCAAACCATCCATATGAATTGCACATGAATTACTTCCCCATGCTTTTGAGAAGAGATAAAACTAATTCAGAGCTTAATTGCGACAATTGCAAATATTGCAGCATCGGGGCCCATGTAATCCCTCACTTTAGTAGACAAAACACTTTACTAAGTGACTATTTAATGAGTGATTTTTAGGTTGCCTTAGCAAGCTATTTGTAAAATTACTGCACACAATAGTAGCACAAATAATTTGAAACTTTTAAATTGGATTTATTGGCGAATAGAGGTCACTATCCAGGGGCTTATATATGTATGTAGAACATACACTTGCCATAGAGTTGTATATTGTATGGCAATGTGGATGATGGTTTTTCCTGCATAGCTTTGGTTGATTTATTCTACAGAAGTTTGTCTTAACGTGTAGGCAAATGACTATGTATACATTTTTCTGGCTTCTGATAATTGACCGTCCTTATGTCTCTCAGGTATCCTTCTTTAGGACCACTAAGTACTTCTGTGGAACTGGATTCCGCTTGTTTCGGATGACGCCCTTTCATCAACACCTTGAATTATGTGGACTCAGAGAACCGATCATAGTAGCAGGTGCATATGTCATTTCATCTATGTTGGTTCTATTAGCGGGATATGTGGGTCTTATTTCAGCATAACTTGCAAAGGTATTGTTACCCAACATACTGCCTATTGTGACTGCAAGCTTACTTAGACATTGAGAAAATGTATACTAGAGTATTATTGTAATGGGAAGAATCATTTGGAAGAAAATATGTCTACTAGCTTTGGCTGATTTTAGTCATTGACATGCACATGCGTATGTCAATTTCCTCTACTCTAGAGTGAGAGATCGCCTTCCCCTCCCATTTTTTTTCTCTCTATTTCCTTTCTTAGTAGATCACCTGCCGTGATTCAAGTGAGACCCATTGTATTAGAGGAGATTTGAACACAAATTTTAGCCCGAGTTTATGCATTTAGAGAATCGAATTTGAGTTAAACCCGAGTTAAACTTGAATTCTAGTTTGATTTCTATGACCTGAGTATCAAACCTGAATGATCATTCTATAATAAAGGTGATATGAATGAAATACGCACGATAAAGATTGAAAGAATGGAGTAAGTTTAGACCAGAAAAAAGTTAAGGAAAAAAAAAGAAGAATCGACGCCCGAAACGAAGCTATGTAATGGACACGATTTCATAACCCTCATCCACTTCGTATTTATGCTAAAAATTTCTTGCATTTCTCTTCATTCAAATGACCTATATAGTAGCAAAAATTGAACACTCTCAAAGAATGACTCCTTTACTACTCCTTTTAAGGCCATGAAAATCCAAACAAAACATAGAAGCAATGGAACAAGGAGTCGGCCATGAATTTCCAGCCACCTTAAAACATTTGCTCCACAAAGACCAATAACACTCTTCAATCCTTCTTACACATAACACACTATTACGGTAACAAGCATTTATTAGGTCTTTTTCTTTGGAGCACGTCATTTGTGTTAACTTTACCATGAGTAATCACCCGTGCACATACTTGTACTTTTAAAGACCCTTTAACTTTCTAAATTTTCAATGATAGATAAAAGATTGACGGGGAAGAATCATCAATCAGAAAATCAAAAAAAAGATTTACAAGAAAACGCACCCATCGAATCAAGGACCCACCATCTTTTATAAACAGACTCATGATATAAAGAAACATGGCTAAGCAAAGAAAAAAAAAGAAACCAAATCCGAAGTTTCCCTATCATTAGATTTCTACAAAATCCAAAATCCCCAGATTTTTGTTTTTTAAAAAAACAAATACTAGTTAAAAAGTTTTTTTTTTTTAAAAAAAGCAAAAAAATAGTTTAGAAAAGCGCAAGCAAATGGAATATGTGGTCACTTCTCTTATTGCCCCTTCATAACTTGCCCCGAAGCCATCTCAGCTGCTTGTCAGGACTTATGTGGGTTCTTAGTTTTTATGTGAGAAAACAACGTGGGTTCTTGCTATTTGCTTATACCCAAAATAGTAAAATTTGAGGATAACTCATAGAAATGATCTAACAGTCATGGAGAGATTAGTGAAAGTCCAAGTTTAGCAAGGCGGTTAAGAAAGTGAGATTCTAAGAATTCTAAAAAACGAGGTAATAGGACATCATAAGTCGTCAGTTAGAGACGATTAAGTGCATTTCTGTATATCTCGAGAGAGCCATGAACAGAATTACACCATTCAAGTTGACCTATGGATACGATGCGATCTTGAACATTTCTCCATAAACTTGTAATGGGAGAAAGAAAGATGAATCTACTGACGGGGATGACAACAATGGAGTTGCGTGTTTGGATCTATCTAATCAAACTTTGACACGCTCACAATTTTAAAATATGTCTAATTACGGTACCGAAATTATAATGTTGATAAAGATGAGGAGCCCCTGAATTTTTTATACTTCAAGACTAAAACGTGATTTTTTTTTTTTTCCCAATGGTGCTATTTATTGTAGAATCGGTAAAATCGAAAAGGAAGGTTCAAACAAAATGTTGTTTTTCCATAAGGGTTAATGTTTTCCCATGAAGAGGATTTTACAGCAACTGATGTATAACACAAGAACATAACCAAAAAAGAAAGAGAAAAAGGATATGTGGAGGCTTCAGCTATGGTGCAAAAAACTTTAAGGCCACACAGAGTTGAAAAAAGAATTGTACGGGGTATACCATACCAAACTCTTACGTATAGTGAGAAATCTGAGAAAACTAAGACATAGACAACGTTATTCTCATTTAGCAAAGGTTGATTTTCGACTCATAAACTGTGACATACTACTTAAATAGATGAACTTGCAGTTGGACATCCTCCCTATCCATAAGCCCATATTTGGACACCCTTCAAGCTATAAAGCTCCAACCCTATGAAGGTGTACAACCCCATCTATCTTTGCAATGGGAACAACTAAGATAGAAAATGTACACCAAATCACTTGCCGTCGTTGGATCAGTGAGTCCCATCACTAGTCCAACTGCTGCAAGTTTTGGTTCTTAATTACTAATAAATTGATTGCCACCTTTTGGTACCCTACATCTCATGCCTTTAAAGAGAATCTTAATTCAATCCATGAATGATGGAACATGATGCAAATTCTAAATTTTTTGTCCCCATTTTTATAGCCTAAATCAATTGCTTATGTGAACAGATAATGTCAAACAACAAAAGAATAGTTGTCCCTTTGTGATTCTTATTAGAAAGCCTTGAAAAAAAAAAAAATAGGGAGGTTGTTGGGCTGTCACCAGAGATTGGGAGAGATGGATTTAATTAGCGAAGGACTTAGTTGCCTCTCGTGCGATACACGAAATTGATAATATTTATACACCATCACCCCTATTCCCACTCCCACCACCTAATCCTAATCCGATCATATCGATTTTTTTTGGAAAGTATATACTAATTGATATTACCAAAAAAAATAATCAAAATGTAAAGTAGTTAATAAAGATGATGAGAAGTTCAAAAGTAGAGTAGTTATCGAAGAGTTTGATGTGGTTAGATAGACCACATGTTGGAATTCAATTGGAAGAGCCGAGGCATTTCTATTGAATAATTCAAAATTAAGAGAAAGTAGGATTTGGGGAGGGAAAACTTCTAAGATGCTCTCTCTCCTAAATTGATTCTTTTAATATATAATATAGATGAGAATTAAGCCAAGGGTACAAAATAAAGCAAAATGATTTTTTGCCTTAGATTTTCACTCTTTCTCTATCTGGTAGGTACAACCTTTTAAGCTACTGTATGAATCGATTCCTTCATAATACCTCTCAAGGAAAATCCATGATTGATTTCTTCTGTGCAAGAACTGGGGATTTGGAGTAAGCATGACTTTCAGAAGATCTTTGATTGTGATCAATTGGGTCTCACTCAAATCTTGATAATAACGAATGACTTGTGCTTGATTTCTTTGCATCGGTTCGTGTTACTGAAATCTTGGTAAATTACATCTCATACAAATAGGTTAGCGGGAGCTTATTTATGTAGTTATGCAATCTTCGAATAGAAATTCATTTTTAAAGTATCTCGATTTTATATAATAAAATAGAACATAAAATTGAAACTAGGACTTTTGAGAAGCTTGTAAAGTGGGTTTCATTGTCAAAATTTTCTTATTTCATTACGAGCCCAACTTGGGTGGCCTGCAAAAGAATTTTCTTTAGACCCACCAAAAAAAAAAAAAAGTCCTTTACCTTTTACAGTTTAATATTCATTGAGTTTGTTTTTTTAACTGTTGATCTATAGTGGCCCCATCTTAGCACTAGGTAAATGCACTACTTCTATGAATGCCAAGTTAGGCTATCTACAATGTTAGTCATTGGTTTAACGCTCATCATCTCTCCCATTAGACTTCAAGGTCGCGAGTTTAAATCTCGTCGTCTTCCTCCCTTGTAATAATGTTTGACCAAAAAAAAAAATTAAGGCTATTTATAATTGAGTCTGCGGAGGAAGGCAAGATTGTATTCTGAGGGAGCACAAACGAAGGTATAATCAAGAATTTTATTTAACGGAGTTATTCTTTAAGCTATAATTAATGACAAATGTTTAGTTTTATAGAACTTATCATAATTAAATTTCATATAATGACTTTGTAACGGGTCAAACATTTTAAGATTAATTTTGAACGTCATAAAAATTAGTTTATGATAATGTCACTGTCTACTCATTTCCTCATTATTGACATGATGTAATAAGTATTATTAAATTCTCATACATTGGTGGGTCAATGCATTAGTTATTTGAAATTTAAGTTATGTTTGTTACCCAATTTTATAATAATTTCACTCTTTTTTTTTTTATTACAGGAGGTTCAGATTTGAACTAATTACTCTCTTGACCTTAGCTGTTGGCTATTGTGACTTGAGCTGAACTCCAAAGGTAAGACTCAACCACTGCACCATCTCTAAGGATTTATGGTAGCAATTTACAACTAATATAGATCTACCCCAGGTTGTAAGAATTTTAAGATATGATTAATTATTTCATATTAATTGATTAAATATATTTTCAGAACTAAGAGCCTCACAAGAAGTTTTACAAACATTAACACTATTGTTTACAGAATATTATTGGCAATATTCATATGATAGTTGCTTCTATTAAAAGAAAATATTCACAAGTGAAACTAGTAAAACCCTATTTGTGATTAATTATACCACAAAATAGATAATTATCTATTTAGAAGGATATATATATATATATATATATATATATATATATATATATATATTTCTAAAAAATCAACACAAAAATATAATTTTGTATATTAAGAGGAAAAAAAAATATTTTAAATAAAACCACATATTCAATTTTTTATATGCTTGTATAGCATTTTGAAATTACCATGATTAAAACTCTTGTTTAGTACCCCAATTTCTATTGAGCCAACCCTGAAAATATTGCTCGTTAAGGACAATTTCTTTTATCTTAATTTATTATCAAACAAAATATGACAAGGTTTGTCGATGTATTTTCAAAAACTCAAGGAGGTGTCTAAACCTGGGGTAATCTATAGGTGTAACATGAAAAATAGTACGATATTGAAAAGTAAAATTTTAGTATCGTATCGATAAGTAAAAACAACACCCCTTGCTAAAAAAGTGGTAAAGTTTACGCTAAAAATAAATATACCCCAAAAATTGTACACTTTGCTCAAAAAATAGTATAACTACCCAAAAAATGATGCAATACTGTAAGGGGAAAACAGTCTCTTACCTTTTGATTGTAATTTAATTGTAATTTAATTGGGAAAAGAGT